AGGAATATTTCTGTAAACACAAACAGCAGCAGGACGCACAAACAAAAGAAAAATGTAGCAAGGGATCAAACACTGAGACTGTAAATACAGCACCGGCCGCTCGCAGCACCATCCTCCTGCAGAACGCTCTCCACATCCAGCACGGCAGCAGGGAGAAATGCAGCCTTTCAAAATGTTTTTTCCAGAGACCCGAGTTGAGGTTCCTTTTGTGCTGTCACGCGATGGGCTGCTAATACATAATTACAGGGCTGATATGAAAATGGGTCCAGACCCCCTCTGCTGGGGAAGCAGGGGCTGGAAACTGCTGGTGAAGGAGCCGGTGGTTTGAGACCCGGCGGAAAACACTTCAGCAAATGAAGGCAGTACGCCATCTAATACACCTCCCTGCAATTTGGCCCTTCCGTCCCAGCGCCGGGCTCAGACCTCCCCCGCCTCAGGCGGGCTGCCTGCCAAGCGAGGGCGACCCAGGACGGCGTGGGGCGTGTGGAGAACGGGTCAGCTGGGGGGTGCTTCTTCAGCTTTTTTAATCAAGTCGAGTGCCACATAGTCTGGCAGCAATGACACAGGAGGAGAATTATGGGGAAAAGGGCGGTTCAGAGTTTCGGGTTTGCCCAGGGGGCGGGGCTTCATTTGCTATAAAAGGCTGTAGTATCTATTGGCCCGGGTGGGGCCAGGGTGTACAGAGGCATAGGATTGATTCGCTGCTGGTGGGAGGGGAGACACTACAGTCCAATCAGCAGAAGGGTGTATTCTTTGGGTTGATTGTGGAAAAGGGAGGAGGGAAACTGACATAAGAAAAGAGGAGACGAGGATTACGTACTGTGTGATGTACACTGGAGCCTCTGCATGCTATTTTTAGAGATTACTGTCATACCATGCAGAACCCCTGGGGGGCGCCATTAAATGGACGGCAGAAACTACACAAAAAAGACGCCGTCCTCGACAGATTTATTTCCTCTGGTGACTCCACGACACATTTCAGTGGTCTGGAAGATAAACTCACAATAACGAGGGGAGCTTTTATTTTTGTGTACTTGATCCCGTGAGAAGGAGGCTTGTATAGCTGTGGGAAGGCGGGTTTTTGCTCTTGGGGAGTCTTCAACGGCAGCCTGCCAGGGACACTCCTTATGACAGCAATGCTCATTTATCAACCCTGTTGGACAGAATGTAACTGGAATTGTACTAGTGGCGACCGAAGACAGGAAGCACACACTGGGCTACAGCAGAGTCCCCCCCCCCCACCAGATTTAAGCCTGCAGCCTTTTATTCTCAAGCCCCCTCACCCAACCCTAAGGTGCCCACTCAGCTTGTTACTCCCTACTTCTCCATCGTCGGACAGCAGCTGAGAGGGAGACATTTCATTTCTGCGAGGCGCTGTCTCCATGCTGAGAGATGACATTTTGGGGTCAGGGGTCAAGGAGTGGAATGCAGGATGAAAGAGCGAGGAATCCCTGGGGGGTATGAATACACCTGTGACCTCAGGGGTCAAGGATCAGTCATGGATTTTCTCCTAAACACATCGTGCGCAGCTTCACCGTAGCCGTTAGCGTCTGCGTGTGAGACCCGTAGCAGACCCCATTAGGAGGAGCACACAGCTTCCTGAGGATTCTCAGAAAGAGGGCTGTGCGTTTCCGTGGATACAGCTTCACACAGCTTCACACCAGCACTCACAGCATCCAGAGCGACCCCCCCCCCCCCCACATTGGTGGGGCTTCTTGAAACTCACCAAGCAAACAGAAGAATAGTTACAGGCCGCTTTAAGCAAAGAAGCAGAAACACCACTGGGAAATATGCTTAACCGGTTGATAACACACACATAATCCAATCAAAGCCTCATCTTCCCCGAGTGCTACATGGAAACGGTATGTTTATGGTCCTTCCCCCATTCCCCCATCTTCTTGCCAGGAGACAGCATCCATCGCTGGGCACACGTGTCCAGGAGAAGGGGAGCTATTCCAGTAAATTTGGTTGTAATGGATCTTTGGCAACGGGGTTCATACCGGTGCGGGTCTGCTAAGAGGATTTGGGGAAGGAAGGGGCCTGCATGGCTGCGTGAGGCCGATACCGCGGTAAAGCCCACCGGCGTGGCCGCAGCCAAGCAGCCTTTCACCACTCAGGCAGGAGCGGATCAGGCCTGGGATTAGGGCACCATGTCACGGACGGGGAGGCCTTTCCCAGCATGCTTTGCGTCTCCTTGCTCCCAGGCCACAGAAGCTGCTTTATGTCACGTGGGGACACGTCAGCGGGCGTCCCGTTTGCCAGCAGCATGCCGAACAGCTACCATGTCTCTGTGACGATTCAATTATCCTCAGGCAGCCTAGCAACAGACTGACTGATCTAGGAAGCGGCAGAAAGACTCTAGGTAAGCAGATTCTGAAGCTGACGGTCTTCCCGAGCAGATGCAGCACGCCAGTGTTCCAAGATTCCTTTGTATTTTTTTTTCTGCCGCACTGGAATGCCTGGCGAGAGCTGGAATACTCCTTCTGGAGGACCAGACCCGTCTTCATCCATGTAATGACCCCCAGTCTCACTGGGTCCTGCTCTCCTCTCTCAGCTCGGATCTCCCTGCTTCTCCTAGACCAGGCCTCTCCTAGACCATCTGCCTGGAGCCTCCGGTTCAGGACCACATCCAAGTCGGTGATGCCGGAGCGCTTGGAAGCAGGGGGTGGCAGAATGAGCACAGCACCGGGACGCTAAGCCACACGCTACACGAAGCAAGCTGGACAGGAGCCATTAGGGCCCTGAGCCCCAGAGCCCCCACCTCACTGTCGACCAGTGGCTGTGCAGAAAGTGATCACTGCTGCAGGGCCCCAAGCTTCGTAACTGCATTTTTGGTGCGTTCTCTTTGCCTTCGGATTCGAGTTTCGGTTGCCGAGATTACATCACATCCGCTAAAAGCTCGGGGAAAACAGAGTCGGATGCGTTCCATTTGCCACAGAAGTAGCAATACCATGGACCCATATCAAAAAGCAAAGTTTTTTGCTTAGCCGGACAACTTGTCGGATTTAAGGTACCTCAGTTTAAATGGCCTTTATCTTCGTTCACTTGCAATTAGCCCGAACTACCTTAAATCTGACAAATAATCCGACTAATCATGAAATCCAATTCTACCCCGGTTAATTGTTAGCCATTGTTGGCAATATCACTTGATAACACATTACATGCGGTGCTTCACGTATAAAACTCCGTAGCAACACGTCCACGGACAAGTTGGATGGTATAGCGTGTGCGACCAATTTAATGAGCCACAAATGAGAAGTAGTACTTAAACAGGATAAA